AGTAATTCTCCATTTTTTTTCAGGATGCTTTTGTGGTTCCGGCTGAGCAGAGGAGTGTATAGCCTGCAGAAGCCCTTTCTCCACAATTCTCCAGGCTTTGTCATTTAAGAATAGGTGATTCTGCAGAGCTGGTGATCAGGATCCTATGATGTATTTGAAGTCAATTTTTCATTGTATAGGATTCGCTGTACCTATGCCGTTTGTTCCGAGAGTCTCAAGCTTGGAGCGGTTTCACAGTGAATAAAAAAGAAAGTTGTTTTGGGTCTCTTTAAAATTTTACACTGTAGTTATTCATATGCATGCAAACAACTCCACGGTAGGAATGGTTTGGTACCATGTTCTCCAAAAATCTTTTTACTGCCTTTTGTAGACTCCTTGCAATAGAATTTGCAAGGGCCAGATGGGGGCTGGGCTACTTCTGTGTTTCTAAGCTGCCTTTGTGGTAGAAAGAAGTTCTCTCAGCTGCTCCTGACAGGTCTGATATCTTTTAGGGTATATAAGCAGACGATGAAATTTCATTCAAAGATTTTATTAAAACCTTTATGTAAAAAGTCAGGCGTTTCCAAAGACTGAAGTAAATGCAAGTTTTATGTAGCCACCTCCCATTAGTGGCATAAATATGAAGCAGACAGAAGCATTTCAAACTAAATGGAAAAGCCTTAGTTAAATCTATCTCAGTAGTCTCTGTATCTACTTGTCATTCCCTCATACATAGAATCATAGAATGGCTTGGGTGTGAAGGGACCCCAAAGATCTTCTAGTTCCAACCCCCCTGGCATGGGCAGGGGCACCTCCCACTAGACCAGGTTGCTCTAAGCCCCATCCAACCTGGCCTTGAACACTGCCAGGGAGGGGACACCCACAACCTCCCTGGGCAACTTATTCTGGTGTCTCATCACCCTCCTAGTGAAGAATTTCTTCCTAATGTCTGATCTAAATCCACCCTCTTCCAGTTTAAAGCCATTGCCCCTCATCCTATCACTACATGCCCTTATAAAAAGTCCCTCCCCAGCTTTCTTGTAGCCCCTTCAGGTACTGGAAGGCTGCTATAAGGTCTCCCCAGAGCCTTCTCTTCTCCAGACTGAACAACCCCAGCTCTCTCAGCCTGTCCTCATAGGAGAGCTGCTCCAAAGCTTCGTAGAAGTGAGTTTTAAGTATTTGAAGTGATAGGAGTGTCTTGTAAGTATCCAATAAGGTCCTAACTGGAGAGGGTTCCCAATTAACGCTTGACAAAACTGTTTTGTGACATTCATTCAAATGTAATTTCTTAAGTATGCTTTTAAAATTCCCATCCCTTACACCATATCCAGATCCATAGGCTAACAGCCCAG